AACGCATTCAGTGGAAACTTCACTACGCAAGGTCAACTATTTTTTAAGTGATAATTTATCGTGCTCGCTCTTTGCCTGGTCTGTGAAGCACTACGATATCTATTATCGTAATGACAACAAACTCAAGTATCTTTATTCTTTATACCTATAAATATTTGTTTTCTCTCACGTTTGACCATGAAAGGTTGCAAATGTTTTCAAAGCAATCCATTCAATAATACATAATCGAATAAAATAAATAATACATCATTTCCTTCGTTTGTCGCACTAAACGAGTATTGTTAAGTCACGGAGCTGTCATTAATATCCTACTTAGCTGACGTGAAACTGTAAGGGGACTACCATGTTACTATAGGCATACTTAGAAAAGCCTTTTTGACGGTCTGTCCTTGACTTGGTTGTAATCACATATGTTCGGGTTCTGGAATGAAATACTTTTTTTTTTCTTCCTATGCTTATAGCCTTGAGAGGCTATGTCAGCTTCTCTTTGATGTGTAGGTGAGCTCACGGTGCTCAAACCGGGTGTGTCGCTAACACTGGCCCTAGCAAGAGCAGTACTTCGCAGAATCTACCACCGGATCGGAAACGCGACCCACTGAGAAGATTCGGCGAGAAACTCAGTGGGCTATTGAAATACGAGAGTTAAACCCACAATTCAATATTTTTACAAGAATCCTCAAAAACAACCTTATAAAAAGAGCGTCCGTTTTCGCTGATTAGCGCAAATAAACGTTCAAGCCAATGGGACGTAGGAATAGACTTCGCTGGCACGGCAATCAACGGTGTCTGCTGGTTGACTCTTGGGAAGCTGCCTAGATGATGTCACATGCATCACTTGCTACCGGGATCATCGTACTCCCTTACGGGGGCACGGGACGGTTCTCAGGGCGAATCTTACTACCCGGGCATGTGCTCCCTGCTATCCATTCTCAGAATACCCCGCTGGATAAGAACCAACGAAATAAAGGGGATGATGAAGCTGCCATATTAATTTGATTTTAATGTTTGATGATAGGCATCCATATTCTCGATCGACTCTAGATCCAGTTATCACTGAGGATACTGTGAACTTGTCTGCCTAGTAAATAACCTTATAGTAATACCATCATTTTTAGCCATCATATAGTAAGATCATAACATTTGCTCTAACTTTCTCTAATTCGGTATACTTTTTGATGATTTTTTTTAATACAATTGCTGGAGATGAAAAATACGTTTTTTTTGCTGACGAACCAAAACTTTAGTACAAATTCTTAAAAACAAAAAACTAGAATCTTTTTTCTGTTAATCATTTGTAAAATGTTTGGAATTTATTCAAAGTTTGATTTATTTAGGTCTATTTAGGTGCTTCAGTAAATAATCACATTCTCTAATGGTACTATTTTCTGGTAAACTAAAACTTAAATTGCGTTTTGGTTCAACGAATTTTCAACTTAATATATATTTTCATTAGCGATTCAACCATCACTGAATGCAATCTAAAATGTTCTGATAAATTATTCTTCTAGAAAGTTCAAAGTTGCTTTTTTTCTTTAAGAATACGTTTGAAATTGAGTGTAATAATATTATAGTATTGAAAAAGAAACATTTTTCAAGAAATCACAAGTGGGACATGAACCTTACATATAGGGTTAATCTCATTGCTTGCGATTCTAGTTCGTCGAGATGAGAGGTTTTATCGCGTATTTTCCTCGTGAAAGCGTCGCTGTGTATCCACATTATTAACTTATTAAGCTGTTTGTTTGATCCAGAATGATCTTAATAAATGTGAATATCATCATAAAAGATCCTTTGTGGCCAGTGGAGAGGTTAGTCTGTTGGATTATTCAGAACTTACGGAATTCCGGCTTTCTTTGCCATGTTTTTTTTTTATGCTTAGATGTGTGGACGAGCTCACAGCCCACCTGGTGTTAAGTGGTTACTGGAGCCCATAGACATCTACAATGTAAATGCGCCACCCACCTTGAGATATAAGTTCTAAGGTCTCAGTATAGTTACAACGGCTGCCCCACCCTTCAAACCGAAACGCATTACTGCTTTACGGCAGAAATAGGCGGGGTGGTGGTACCTAGCCGTGCGGACTCACAAGAGGTCCTACCACCAGTGATTACGCAAATTATAATATATTTTGCACGACGACTAGTAGCAGTAGTAGTACTAGTAGCAGTAGTAGTACTAGTAGCAGTAGTAGTACTAGTAGCAGTAGTAGTACTAGTAGCAGTAAAATTAATTTCTTTATTCTTACCTAACTTGATACTCCTATCACACGTTTTATGTTCTGACGCTACTTCATAAAAATAAACCTAGTTTCGTGGGTAATTTCGTTCCAACTTTTGCGTTATTGACTAACAAGCATCCAAATATACAAACCTCAACATTTGTAATATTGGTATCGATTAGAGCAGCTGTTTGCTATATACTTTCCCTAAAGAGAGCTTCCATGCTCAAATCGGGTTATATTGTAATAGTAGTAGCAGTATCAGTAAAAGTTGTAACATTAGTACAGGCCTGTCTAAAAAACTTCAACGAGTAATCAACATTCATAATATTAGTATCTATTAGAGCAGCTGTTTGCTATATACTTTCCCTAAAGAGAGCTTCCATGCTCAAATCGGATTATATTGTATTAGTAGTAGCAGTAGCGGTAGTTATATTAGTACAGGCCTGTCCAAAAAACTTCAACGAGTAATCAACATTCATAATATTAGTATCTATTAGAGCAGCTGTTTAGTATATACTTTCCCTAAAGAGAGCCTTCATGCTCAAATCGGCTTATATTGTAATAGTAGTAGCAGTAGCAGTAGTCACATTAGTACAAGCTTGTCCAAAAAACTTCAACGAGTAATCAACATTCATAATATTGGTATGTATTAGAGCAGCTGTTTGCTATATAATTTCCCTTAAGAGAGCTTTCATGCTCAAATCGGTTTATATTGTAATAGTAGTAGCAGTATCAGTAAAAGTAGTAACATTAGTACAGGCCTGTCTAAAAACTTCAACGAGTATTGTTTCGAACTGCTCTGGGGTAGACCGGTGATGTATAAAATAAAAGAGTGGACTGTAGTATTTGGTAAGTTTATAAAAAAAGTAAAACAAGATAAACAAGTAAGTGTCGCGGGCGGCGTTGCTGCACGAAGTGACGAAGCCGGTGTCCATCCGCTACCCCGCGTCGCTGTCCTCCTCCCGGCGCCCGCGCCGCGCGATNCAGGTATGCAATCCGTCCAATATTCCGAAGTCCAATATTCACGACTCCTTGCAGCTTCAACGTAGTGAACAGTAAAACGTCCGTTCGTTTTTAAATGGCCAACCAACGCCGACAGTTTGTTGTACAGGTTTTATTCCGGTGAGTTTTAAGCTGACAAAACTAAAGGACCATGTTTCGAACTGCTCTGGGGTAGACCGGTGATGTATAAATAAAAGAGTGGACTGTAGTATTTGGTAAGTTTATAAAAAAGGTAAAACAAGATAAACAAGTAAGTGTCGCGGGCGGCGTTGCTGCACGAAGTGACGAAGCCGGTGTCCATCCGCTACCCCGCGTCGCTGTCCTCCTCCCGGCGCCCGCGCCGCGCGATCGTCGATGTCCGTGCATCGACAAGTATTATAATATTAATAAACCGAATGGTGTTGAACAAAACACATAATTTACTTTTTACGACTCACAATCTGTAATAATGAAAAGCTTTAAATGTTATTACATTTTATTACAACTACTTACAGACCTTTTGGGATGACAGTTAACTATAAATAACCAACAAATACAATTTACAACTAGTTATTTGTCCAGAGCTCATAAAACAGTGTTGCTTAATGGCAACTAAACTTCAGAACGCACAAAATTTACTTTACTTATTAAATAAATTACTTTATAATGTGGTCCGTTCTTAATAAATTCATAATGAGTAATAAGATGGCTCCGGAAATTGAGATGAAGACATTTTTTATTTTATTCCCTACAATACTATGATTATCATGAATTAATATTTATCACTATGAAATACGATGAGCACAAGTTTCTTACCCTCAGACACAGCCCACTGAGTTTCTCGTCGGATCTTCTCAGTGGGTCGCGTTTCCGATCCGATGGTAGATTCTGCGAAGCACGGCTCTTGCTAGGGTTCGTGTTAGCATCGTCGTCAGGTTTGAGCCGCGTGAGCTCACCTACTAGTTAAGGTTACGCTGGAATAGCCTCTCAAGGCTACCTACCAGCTTAGGTAGGAAAAAAAAAAGTTTCTACTCAATTATTACGAAACGAGGCTTATTACGAAATGTATGTTTAGCTCTTGAAAAATTATTCACTAACCACAATTTTTTTTTTTTTTATTGCCTTTGTAGGCAGACGGGCATACGGCCCACCTAATGGTGAGTGGTTACCGTCGCCCATGGACTTCAGCAATGCCAGGGGCAGAGCCAAGCCGCTGCCTACCGCTTAATACTCTCCACAAGCCTCGTTTGAAGAAGGACATGTCATAGCGCTCGGGAAACACCGTGGAGGGGAGCTCATTCCATAGCCGGATGGTACGTGGCAAAAAAGACCTCTGGAAACGCACTGTGGATGACCGCAGTGGCTCCAGGTAGTATGGATGAACTCTACTCCGGTGGCGGGCGGTGCGATGGTAAAAACGAGATGCCGGTATCATCTCGAACAATTCCTCAGAGCACTCCCCATGGAACATACGGTACAAAATACAGAGGGAACCGAAGTCCCTCCGCAGACCCAGAGGCTCCAAACGATCCG